CGACGAGCCAGCCTGTCTACCTTCCTTATTCTTATTCTTTTTCTTATTCGTTGTTGTACTCGGAAATCGAAATAATCGTTTATTTTTATCGAACAGTGCACCCGATGTTAATACCTTTTTGTAAACTACTCTGTTGTTACCCCCACCTGTTATTGTATCACTTTTAGCAACGTGGGTGTATTGGTTCATGATTATTCGCTGATTTTTCTAACGGTTCAACCCTTTGAACGATGTGGGCGCTTATATGCGTCCGATTTAAGATATTTGTCAATTTGTTCTATTGTCATTAGTTTAAGGATTATTTTACTTTTATCGAAATTGTTAAAGGTTGGTAATAAGTTAAATATAACGGATTAGGATACAACGAAGTTTAGGTGTTTAGTTTTTCGAATATTACAAGAATGTAGGACTCTGCTCAAATGAAAAAGACGCTGAACGTTAGAGACTGAATTAGTTGTTTCTCTCGTCCAGAAATAAAATTTGGACATTCAAAAGAACTAGAACTTCGTTTTGATTAATTGGACGTTTAGTCCCTTTATTGGAACTTCTTCAACAACTTAATAGTTTTGTTTGAGTGTTCAAATATAACGGATCAAGAGATAACAAAGTTTAGATGTGTAGTTTTTTGAATATTACAAGAATGTATGTCTGCTTAAATAAAAAAGATGCTGAACTTTAGAGATTAAGTTGCTGAAGAAGTCCCTATAAAGAAACGAAACGTCCAATTTGATCAAAACTTAAGTTCTAGTTCTTTTTAATTTCCAAATTCCCTGCGATACATATTTGTTAGAGATTGAGTTGCTGAAAAAAGAAGTCCCAATAAAGAAACGAAACGTCCAGTTTGATCAAAACTTAAGTTCTAGTTATTTTTAATGTCCAATTTCCCTATGATACATATTTATTAATAAATTTTATTTTTGAACGAGAGAAATAATTAATTGAATTGTTCGGTTTTTTAGTGATTGCAATTGTTTTGTTAGGCGCGTTCATTGAAAAGGGTTCAAATAAAATATTAGGACAGATGATAATCGAAGTGTTGTAGGATTGAATTGTTTGCAAACAATCGAACGGATATATTTCTCTTTAAAGCGATACTTAATAATCTATTCGTCGGCATGTCATCGAGACGCGAGAGGAAATTAACAAATGATATCTCTGAACGTCGGGATACGTCACCGATAAGATATTATTACGAGTCGAGATAACGCATACCAGTCAAAAGACTGACGTTTGTTTCGTCAGAACGATCAGCGGAACGAACGAAACTCGTTAATGCACTGATCCGTGTCACTTAAGGACGCATATATGCGCTTATCAATTCAATATAGTTTACGTTAACTGAAAAAAGCATTCGATTCGCACCAATCGCAATCGTTAAACCGTGTGCCATTCACGAGTATCGTTTCCGTTAAAAATTATTCGTACGTATTGAAACAATAATTTAAACAAATAAAAGTAATTCTTTTAAGTATAGTGATTGGGATATTAGTTTGACAATTCATCAGATGTTCATCAAACGAATATCGATTGAACTTCTTTAAAAAACCAATCCTTGTGACTTAAGGACGCATATATGCGTTCATCAATTAAACACAGTTTACGGAAACAGAAAAAAATATTCGGTCATCGTTAAGTATGTGCCATTAACGAGTATCATTTCTGTCTAAAAAATTATTTAATCCGGTTCGTATTGAAACAATAATTTAAACAAATAAAAGTAATTCTTTTAAGTATAGTGATTGGGATATTAGTTTGACAATTCATCAGATGTTCATCAAACGAATATCGATTGAACTTCTTTAAAAAACCAATCCTTGTGACTTAAGGACGCATATATGCGCTTATCAATTAAACACAGTTTACATTAACAGAAAAAAATATTCGATCATCGTTAAGTATGTGCCATTAACGAGTATCATTTCTGTCCAAAAAATTATTCAATCCGGTTTGTATTGAAACAATAATTTAAACAAATAAAAGTAATTCTTTTAAGTATAGTAATTGGGACAATAGTTTGACAATTCATCAGATGATAGTCAAACGGATATCGATCGAACTTTTTTAAAGCACCGATCCGTGTGACTTAAGGACGCATATATGCGTTCATCAATTAAATACAGTTTACGTTAACAGAAAAAAATATTCGGTCATCACTGTTCACAATCGTTAAGTATGTGCAATTAATGAGTATCATTTCTGTCTAAAAAATTATTCAATCCGGTAAGTATTGAGAAAAATAATTGAGAACAAAAAGAAAGATAATTATTTAAGTATCGGTAAAGGGGAGTCCAGTGATTGGTACATTAGTTTAACGATGGTTACCGGTGTAATCCCCATTAGCACCGAGCAAATTATACGAATATTATTATGCGTTTACAAATTGGAAGGTTGCCCGTGTCTCAACTTAAGGATCCAGGATCAAGCAGCAGAAGCAGAAGCACCAGCAGCAACAACAACAACAACAACCAACAACACGGTCGACAGGTTGCCACGATTCTCTTCCCACCTCTCGTCCCAACACGATTTTAATTTAACGACGTGCGCGAGCCGACGTTCTCCCGCTAAAGGGGATCGAATTACCCCCGCCAATTACGACGTCACGTCGTTAATTAACCCACCTCGGTCTGTTGCACGCTACCCAAACCCAAACCCTGCAGCCGATCTTCGAAAAGCGTTCAAAATGCGAATAATCTCGTTTGCTGACCGACACCCGAACAACAACAACAACAACAAAAATACCTCAACGTAACATCTTCGCCCCCCACCCCCCTCCACCCTCCCTTCAACCCCTTTTTCTTTTGTATTATTATATTAAATATTATTACGAGAGAGACAAAAATTTAATAATAATTAATCGGTTGTTTGTGCGTGTAAAAATGAAGATTTGAATAATCAAACGTGTACGAATGATTCATATTTTTGAAAAACAAACATCGTAATGTTTAAACAAAAAAAAAAAAAGTTAAAAAATGTTTAAGCCTATCGTTTATATTCGGAAAGTTATCTACTCGGGAAATGAAATGCACAAACCGACTCACTCGAGGTTTTCCGATAAGAATCTTGATCCGGTAGAAGAAGAAGAAGAAGAAGAAGTAGAAAAACAAAAAGAAAAAGAAAATCATCATCGGGGTTTCCTCGCGAGGGAAGTCCCTCGTTCTGTCTCGTTTTCGAATTACGTAAAACAAAATACAGTGGGAAGGTGCAAAGATTGGAGATGCGACTAAGCGAGAAAATAGAAAATCTGATGGTACCGTACGCGTCACGCTAAGCTGACTACACCAACGCGAGATATAGTCACACTCGCGATGACTATGAATTTCACCTTTTTTCCTTTTTTTTTTGTTTTCCTAGTCATCGAAACGGAAATACAATTGAGTATTAAACCAAGTCCTTGGTTTCCAGGTACTAGACTAATTGTTTTTTGTTTTTGTTTTTTTCGGGTTAACGTTAACATCCTTCCAGTCTTCAGAATTCCGTGATTCCTCGTATTTTTTTCTCTCCCCCTCCCCCTCCCCCCCCTAGACTCCCGTTTAATTCTCATTATTTTGTAAACATTTTTATTTGAAACTCGAAAGATCACGGCACATTTACAAAAGAATTTTCTATGTTATTTTAATTAAAAACGATTATTTTTCTCGTTAAATATACTTCCCCTAGATTTCTAGTAATTTACTATTTTTTTTCTCTCTCTCTTCTTTTCTTTTCTTTTCTTTTTTGTTTCCTTTCTCGATACGCAGAATCACGATTGACGTTTTTCCTTAACGAGTAGGCGAACTTAATTAACTTAGCACCCTGTTCGCGTATGTGTAAGTGTATGTACGTGTGTGTACGTGTGTGTACGCGTTTTCACTCCTTCAACAACACCCACGCACCACGCTTCTTGTCTTTCGCGAACAAATCCAGTTCTTCCGTTCCGAACGATTTGAAGAAGAAGAAGAAAAAAAAAAAGAAAGTCATTGCAATTAGATAAGAAAGATATTTTATGATTAGTAATAACGAGGTGGCATCAACTTGGGCGCCACGTAGATGAATCATATAGATAACTATTTACCTCTCGAGACAATTGTTTTCTTATGAAATCATCGATTTTAGTTTTAATCGATGATAATCTTTTTTTTCATTATTTCGTTAGGTAACTGACATAACTGACATAATTCGTTACATTATGTAATTTATAACACGTTAGTAGTATGAGACTGAAAAGATTTTTCTTTTTTTTTTCTTTCATCGTCAACGTTCTTCTCTTTAATGTTTTTTCTTTCACAAGGGATTAAAAACTATGGTGTAATAGTTTCTCACGATTTACCATCGAGAAAGATTAGGAAAACATAAATTTAGGTTTCCAGTAATCGTGCCACGTTGCAGGAAAACAGAAATAAAACGAACAATGCGAAGTAGAAAAAGGAAAACTTTGAAAATCCAACGATCAAGATCAGAATCAAGTAATCCAACCACCCAGAAGAAAAAATCGGGAGAATGTTAAAAAGAGAACAGAAAGTAATTCGAAAAAATGTTGCGGAAAGTGTAAAGTGGGGAAAAAAAGGAAAAGAAAAATAAAGTTTCGAATACCGGGTACAAATAAAGATGTGTGTCTCGATAACGATTGGTTAACACCAACGAGAGAGTGTTCGAGTTAATTTTATCCGCGGACGATGGCTCGTGGATAGGGGGTGAGGAAAAAATAATCGATGAAAGGTTTTCTCATGACACGATGCGCAACGGTGTGGGGTAAGAGAAGAAAAAAAAAAAACACTGTGTATCCGTTAACACAACGATAGTTCTCCTTTAATCCACCTGTTCGCAATAACATTATAAGTAAGCTTAGAATTTTTCTACGTTCCTCGAAATAAGAAATTCTTAAACGACGTTGAAAATCAACGATACTCAAACTAATAAAAGATAAACTAAGTATCTTCTAAGTCTGATTAAAACCTATAAATATATATATAATACAAATGAAAAATCTGAGAATATAGACAAAAAATGATCATTGGCCTTACCCAATTGCATTTTCCTCATTAGAGATGAATTCCAAGAGAGTCTAGTTGTGATAACCCCAACAATAATAATAATAATCCTTTATATATAAATATCCCCTCTTGAAAGTCTCCTTTTTTCTGGATGAAATTCACTGATAGTAGTAGTAGTAGTAGTAAATTGAGATACAGGGTTCGCACATGCGCATTTCAACACGCAAACTCGAAAATCAGGTCAGCACAAGTGAGAAGTATGATTATAAAAACAGCAACAGCATCAGCAGCAACAACAAAATGAAGAATAAGATGATGACGTAGTAAAAAGGGTTGTTCTATTTCTTTCCAATCACGTGTATATGTATTAATAAAATATATACACGTATTGCACGTTCCGTAAAGGTAAACAACAGTTCTTCTCAGTTGTCTTTGTATAATACTCAAAGATATCGGTAACGTAGACCGTTTAGTATACTGATAGTGATTGTTTTGCGATGATGTTCGAAGTTGGTCGTCTCGTGCGTATGCCGGATTAATGAATGACTAGACACACCGGTGTAGAACTATGAATGAACTCTCGCATAGCAGTACTATATAAACGTGCACATTGTGGGCGTCTGCCGGCTGCTCTTTCTCTCGGTCTCGACCAATCAGAATCATTCCCGGTTAGGTTGCACGTGGTCTAATACGGTTACGTCCCCGGATGAAGAAGAACGTGCTTCTAAAGGATACCTTTTTTTTACAACCCCCCCATCCGAAATTTCATTGGTCCACTGGAAGGAAAATTTGGTTTTCTTTTTCACCTCCTTCTTTTTTTCTATATTTTAGAAGGTATCCTTTTTTATATCGACCAATCGTTTTACTCGTAGCAAAAAGGAAAAAGGAACATCTACCCCTCCCACCCCCACCCCACCCCCCATTGCATACCGTAGGAATCTTACGAATCAATTCTTAACGTTCTTCCGTGTTTTCGTAACACGCCCACTTTTCTTTTTTTTTGTTCTGTTTCCCCCCCTGTCTTTCACCGAGACACAATGACTACGAATTATTCGACGAAATGACGTGCTAATCTAACCGTAAAATCTATTTTTATTAGTATACGTAAAAGTCGAGGAGACATCGTGTGCCGACGTACAGTTTTCACTCCTCACCTCTCCACCACTCCACCTCTTACTCCTCGGGGGAACAATTTCTGATTATCGCAGCTTTTTGTATGATAGAAAAAGAGAGGAACAACACCCTCCCTCACACGCGACACAGGCTGAGGACTTTTTTATTATTTTTTCTTTTCATTTTTTTATTTTTAATTTCTTTTTTTTTTTTTTTACATCGTTGTAGTAGTCGTAGTTGTTTCGATTCTAATCTCGCGTGAATCATAGTACGTCGTCGTACGTTACGTATTTCCAGTAATCCTATGTATATAACTGTCTCTTTCTTTCCTTCATTCTTTTACTTCCCCATTCGCGTGTATGTGTGTGTGTGTGTGTGTGTTTGTCTGCTGTAATGTGTCGTACGTGTTTTTTCCTTCTTCTTCTTCTTATTCTTCTTTTCTAGTTCTACATGTTTCCTTCTTTTTCTATAAATTACATCACCGATCATGCTCAGTGAACTAACACTGCTTGTTAGTTAGAAAAATGTCTACGAGTCAACGCTTTGGAATACGTCATCGATCACGTATAGTGATAACGATATTACGAGTGGTCTCGTGCAACGAACGAAACATCTTGATCGAACTTTGAAACTTATATGTGTGTGTGTGTGTGTGTGTTGTCTCTTTTATGTATTTATATTATATTCTTATGTGTTCGCAAATTTTTCTTTCGTGTAATTAACAACAAAAATATGTATATATATTGTAATAATAATTGTAAATATAATGTGTATATATATTTATATACATATTATATTTACAAATAAATAATTATAAAATATAAATAAATATTATTATAATATATATATATATATATAATTGTAAATATAATTGTAAATATAATTGTAAATATAATATGTATATATTGTAATCTTTTTATTTTATTATAAGAGAAACTACTGATGACAAATAACGATATGATATAATTCGTTAATACGATATGTTAAATAACGGTGCATAGAAACACGCACACATACACACGTATAAAAATAGATAGACGTTAAGAATATGTATCCAGTTTAATGAACACGTTCGGAGGATACTTTTATAATATTTTCTTTTTTTAAGTTTCCTCATAGTGAAACAAGAGATCGTAAATTAAACGTTGCGTATCACAAATGTAGATAATAATTAAAAATCTAAAAATCTGTACTTTGAATAACATATTTTAATATTTATTTAATAATTAGCATATATTATTATATGTATTAGGTAGTTCGTATATTGAAAATAAAAAAGAGAAGGAAAAAAGAAAATTCTTATTCGCATACCAATAGAGACTGAAAAAAATAGAAATTAAAATCGGTTTAACGAGTAACGTGGTTGAATTTATGTTTAATATTTCATAGATAAGGAATGTTCTTGATATTTGTAGTCAAAGATACAACGTTACGTCACTTTCCGTTGGTATTAATCGAACAAAAATAATTAAATAGTTATCGTGTGCTTAATATCTCTTAGTATAGGGTTTTATTTCAAACGTGTTAACGATTTATTCATAGATTGCACACATTAGGATAATTTATTTAAAAATTCTTTTATAAAGAATAAGATTTATTTTTGATTTTTTTCTTATACAAAAAAAAAAAAGGACAATATTTCTATGGAAAATTGTTCAAAGAGATTTTTTTTTAAATATCCAGATATCATTAAATGTCATCTCATTTTTTAACGTTTCATTCAAACAATTTAAAAATCATAAATTACTATACATATCGTAAGTTACATTAATAAAATATTTTTCAATGTAAATTCTTATCATCGATATTTTGATATATTTAATTAATCTAATCAATGAAATAAATATATTATCTTAATCGTATATAATAATTTTTATTTCACGTTATTTTCCTTAACTTTGTTTATCTAACTTTGCATTAATCGATTTAATAAATAAATAAATAAATACTTAATATATTTAATCAATTAATAATATCATCTACATTATATATAGTAATCTTTATATTAAATTAGTTTCCTAATTTCGTTTATTTAAATCAATACATCTAACAATTTTAATAAATAAATAAATAAATAAATAAATAATGTATCACAAAAAAACTATGAAACACAAACATTCTATCCTTCATTTCTTTTTCTTTTCTATTCTCGCGTGGTACAACCTGTCAGAAGATTTGATTTTCGAGTAAACCCCATAAGAAACATTAAACAGAAACAAAAACGAATAAAACAAACTATATATATCGATTAACATATGTATAACACATATACAAACGTAAAAAAAAGATACGAAAGATGAAAGTGAATCCTTGATTCGTTTAAAAACGAGTACCACCAAACTTATGTTTAGTATAAAAGAAAAAATACGTGCGAATCGTAGAAGATGAGATGGTAAACGCGGTTTGTCGGTTTCTCTCAAACGTATCCTCCCTTATCTGATTTAGGTTCTCCATCGTTCTATGGGATATAAAAAGGACACACACACACACACACACACACACACACACACACACATATATATACACATATCAACGAATGCACGTTGTCAAATTCTATCCCAAAAGCAAATCTCTTCTCGAAGAAGAATCCAGTGTCTTCACCCCCCGTCGTGCCACGTGAGAGAGCCCTTCGAACCCATTGTTGTTACTCGTGTACCTTTTCTCTACCTACTACCTTTAGCTATAACTTATTAATATCTGGTGGGAAGAAGTCATCTCATTCTTTCTTTCTATATATATATATATATTTTGTTCTCTAATTCGTCCTTTTTTCGGTTCATTCCTTTTCTCAATTTTAATCTTTTCATCGGTCAACAGCCACTTTTTATTTTTTTTTTTTTTTCAAAAATCGAACCAGACGAATAAAGAAAGAAGCCCTTTTTTTAGTTTTCTTATTTTCTTCATTCTCCTGGTAGAATAGAAAATCGATTGGTAACGATGTAACGTTTGTTTGTCGAAAATGGGAATAAAAAAAGATAGGAGAGGATTAATAAAGGAGAAATTTTTTAAGGACTAGGATAAATATTTTCGAAAGAAAATTCTGGCGACAGAATTATTTCGGTTAGTTACTTCCTTTTTTTTGTATAATATTATCCCTTTTTTTTGGTGTACGTAAAGACGAGTAGGCGTGTACGAGTATGGAAGGAATAATACAACGATTTAAAATATTTGACAGGTGAAAAGAAAAAAAGAAACAATGTATATTGTATAAGTAACGTTAATATCGACGAAATATTCAAACGGTAACAAGAAATGGGGTCCAATATCTGATTCTTTTAAATATTTTATAAAAGAAAATATGAAATTATATAGAAATTTTTCGATAACTATAATAATTTATTACGAATGTCAATTGTTTATTTCAAAAAAGATAAATAATAATCTCGAATCAATAAATCGTAGTATTCGAAACTTAATTTGATGCAAACCTGAACGCATAACCTTAGGACAATTATACTATTGATACGAAAACGAGAAATGGGATCAAACATTTTATATTCTATAATGAAAAATGTAAAATTATAAACAAATTTCTATGACCAATTTATTACTTATTACGATAAAAATTATTTTAAAAATATAAATATCATTTCAAATTAATGAATCGTAGCACACCTTAGATGCACAACCCTAGAACAATTGTATCAAACATTTTATTCCTTTTGATATCTAACAAATACAAAACAATAAACAAATTTCCCTTAAACTAATTAATAACATATTACGATACAAAAAATCATTTAGAAAACGTACAAAAAAATAATCTGAATTACTCAAAACTCAGCTGGATGCAAAACCCTACAACAATTGTATCAAACATTTTATTCCTTTTGATATCTAACAAATACAAAACAATAAACAAATTTCCCCTAAACTAATTAATAACATACTACGATACAAAAAATCATTTAGAAAACGTACAAAAAAATAATCTGAATTACTCAAAACTCAGCTGGATGCACAACCCTACAACAATCGAAACAAACATTTTATTCCACTTGATATAAAAAAAATACAAAAC